GCCACTGGCCTTCACAGATATTTGCTGACAGTGGAGTTATGATGTGATCCAAGAATTACGGATTCCACTCTGTGTTCTACAAGTGAAGGTTTCCTGCTGGAAAGACTTTCAAGCCCTGCGACTCCTGAATATTTTCCACTCATTGTGGTCCCCTCTAGCCTCTCACTTTCCCAGTTAGGTAGCACAAACCAGCTCCAGTCTCCCTGCCTTTCCAACATCACCTTCTAAGCCAGCCTGCCACTGCTAACAACCCACTGCTAAAGGTTGACATTTTATAGCACCTGGTGGGAGCAGGTATGTCCCTCCTAGCCCTGTGCTAATCATCGGGAGGAAAGGTGAGTTACAAATGAGTAAGGCAATAAAAAGTCTCTCCTGGTTAAAAGCTAAGTGATTACAGCTGCTATACCGGATTGGAAATGACAGAAGCATCTCATAAAAGTCACAACATGCACACCTACAACAAGAAAGCAAGCAAAAAGGCTGAGCTGTTTAAACCACCACAGAGAAAGAGATCCATGAGGGGGATCAGTAACTCTTCACAGAGCTCTTCAGCTAATTCTTCCAGCCTCCAAAAGGCTGCTTAATTTTTAAGGAGATATCTATGATCCTTTCAAACCATACGCATGTTTTCAAGGAGTTTCTATCAATGTGGTCTCTTAGACTTCAAATAGCTGCATACAGGCTTACAGACCTCCATACAGTCTGGCAGATGCATACAGGTTGCAGACTGAAGGCTTCTGAGAAGCACCAAATCAGCAGACCTAGCAATGAAAAAACTTCTACCACGTTGCAAGTAGGGAAGAAATGGGATAAAAGGGGCTAATATGATACAAATAGAGGAAACGAGCAGAGAATGATGGGATTGAATCAGATGGACTGAACAGGAATGGAAGATGAAGGCACGGAAGTCTCAGAAGGAAGACTGTCTATGGGAAAAAGAGTAAAGAGCAGGTATTAAGACAGAAAAAAAAAAAAGAGAAGAACTAGCCAGGGCAAAGAGCTGAAATACAGTTTGAGAGAAAGAAAAGAACAAGAACTAAAGAAGGGGAAGAGGATACAGCTTGGGATGCAATAAGAAATACGTGATTCAGAAGAAAATGGAATGGAGTTAAGGTATACGAGTAAACTGAGTGCCTTAATCTTCTGCTCCCTTAACTTCATCAAATTCTGAGTTAAAAAGAAAAAAAAGAAGTAAAGTAAGTGAGAATACTCACATGTGCCTAACCCCAGAGCACAAACAGAAGATGGAAGCGCATTGCAGCAAGAAAGGAGACTAAAGGGGGGGGGGGGGGGGGAAAGGACCAAACACCT